CTGACATCAGCTGTAGCAACATTTTTCTAGATATGTCTCCTTTGGCAAGGGAAACAAAAGCAAAACAAACTACTGGGACTACATCAAAATAAAAAGCTTCTGCACAGCAAAAGAAATAACATAGCTAAAAGACAACCTACTGAATGGGAGAAGATATTTGCAAATGACATGTCCAGTAACAGTTTACTACCCAAAAAATATAAAGAACTTCTACAACTCAACACAGAACTCAAATAATCCAATTAAAAGGTGGGCAAGGGGTGCCTAGGTGGCTCAGTCAGTGAAGCTTCTGACTCTTGGTTTCAGCTCAAGTCATGATCTCATGGGTCATGAGCTCGAACCCCACGTTGGGCTCTGCACTCAGCAGAGAGTCTGCTTGAAGATTTTTCTCCCTCTGGTCCTTCCCACCTTGATTTGCACACTCACCCCCTCCCTGTCAAAAATAAATAATCTTTAAAAGAAATTTATAAATAAATAAATAAATAAATAAATAAATAAATAAATAAATAAAAGGTGGGAAGAAGGGCGCCTGGGTGGCTCAGTTGGTTAAGCAACTGCCTTCGGCTCAGGTCATGATCCTGGAGTCCCTGGATCGAGTCCCGCATCGGGCTCCCTGCTCGTCGGGGAGTCTGCTTCTCCCTCTGACCCTCCTCCCTCTCATGCCCTCTGTCTCTCATTCTCTCTGTCTCAAATAAATAAATAAAATCTTTAAAAAAAAATAAAAAATAAATTAAAAAAAAAAGGTAACAACAACAACAAAAAAAGGTGGGAAGAAGACACAAATAGACATTTCTCCAAAGAAAAGATACAGATGGCCAACAGACACATGAAAAGATGCTCAACATCACTCATCAACAAGGAAATGCAAATCAAAACCACAAAGAGGTATCATCTCACATTTGTCAGAATAGCTAAAATAAAAAATACAAGGAACAACAAATGTTGGCAAGAATGTGGAGAAAATGGAACCCTCATGCACTGCTGATGGGAATGCAAACTGGTGTAGCCACTGTGGGAAACAGTAGGGACATTCCTCAAAAAATTACAAATAGAATTACCAGATGATCCACTAATTTCACTACTGGATATTTACCCAAAGAATATGAAAACACTAATTTCAAAAGATACATGCACCTCTATGTTTATTGCAACATTATCTACAATAGCCAAATTATGGAAGCAGCCCAAGTGTCCATCTATAGATGAATGGATAAAGAAAATGTGAGATATATATATACATATACATACATATATATATATAAATATATATATATAATGGAATATTATTCAGCCATTAAAAAAGAATGAAATCTTGCCATTTGCAACAACATGGATGGATCTAGAGGGTATAATACTAAGTGAAATAAGTCAGTCAAAACAAATACCATATGATTTCACTCATTTGTGAAATTTAAGAAACAGAACACATGAACAAAGGAAAAAAAACACAAACCAAAAAACAGACTCTTAACTATAAAGAACAAACTTGAGTATTATCAGAGGTGAGGTGGGTGGGGGGATGGGTGAAACAGGTGAAGGGGATTAAAAGCACACTTGTCATGATGAGCACTCAATAATGTACAGAATTGTTGAATCACTATATTGTACTAATATAACACTGTATATTAATCATACAGAATTTTTTAAAATAAATTTATTTACTTATCTTATTTATTTATTATATACCAGCAGCAAACAGTTGTGAGTTTATAAAATTTTATTTATAGTACATTCAAAAACATAAAATATTTAGGGATAAATTTGTCAAAGTTGTGTGTGACCTCAACACTAAAAACTACAAAATGTTCCCCTTCTGGGGAAAAATTAAAGACCTAAATAAATGGAGAGAAATACCATATTCCTGGACTGACAATAATGGCATGCTGGTAATCATTTAACAACGAACTCCCTCCCCACAAAACATCATGGGACTTTCCTAATTTCTTCCACCCTAGCCAATGTCAAGTTATCAAATTTCTGAAAATTTAATAATTGTCTGTTGTGATTTAGTATGAGCTGTCTTCAGCTTGCCAATGACTGACTTAATATTGTTAAAATGACAATTCTCACCAAATTGATCAATCTCAATCTTAACTGGAGCAAGCATTTGTATAGAAATTGACAACTTAATTATAAAATGTATATGGGAATGTAAAGGAGCAAGAAGATCCAGAACAACCTTGACAAAAAAGAAAGTTAGAGGACTTAAACCATCAGACTTCAACTGTTACTTTAAAGGTAATCCAAAGGAATGAGATCTTGCCATTTGCAATGACGTGGATGGAACTGGAGGGTATTATGTTGAGCGAAATAAGTCAAAAAGAGAAAGACATGTATCATATGACCTCACTGATATGAGGAATTCTTAATCGCAGGAAACAAACTGAGGGTTGCTGGAGTGGGGGGTGGGGTGGGAGGGATGGGCTGACTGGGTGATAGACACTGGGGAGGGTATGTGCTCTGGTAAGCGCTGTGAATTGTGCAAGACTGTTGAATCTCAGATCTCTACCTCTGAAACAAATAATGCAATATATGTTAAGAAAAGAAAAGAAGAAGGTAGCAGGAGGGGAAGAATGAAGCAGGGGAAATCGGAGGGGTAGATGAACCATGAGAGACGATGAACTCTGAAAAACAAACTGAGGGTTCTGCGGGGGAGGGGGGTGGGAGGATGGGTTAGCCTGGTGGTGGGTATTGAGGAGGGCACGTTCTGCATGGAGCACTGGGTGTTATGCACAAACAATGAATCATGGAACACTACATCTAAAACTAATGATGTAATGCATGGGGATTAACATAAGAATAAAAAAATAAATAAATAAAAAAAATAAAGGTAATCCAGACAATGTGATACTGGCCTAAGGATAATAAGTGGAGCAGAACAGAGAGCTCTAGAATAGATCAAGTCTGTACACAATCATTTGACTTGCAAATGCCTTTTTAATACACAGTGCTAGAATAAATGGATATCCATATGCTCTAAAAGTAATCCTTGGCCTCATACCTCACACCATATAAAAAGTAATTAAAAGAGATTAGAAAATAATAATAAATACAAAAAAATAATAAAATACAAAAGCTAAAGCTTTAAAACTTCTAGAAGGAAATACAGGAGAAATCATTCACTATCTGAGAGTAGGAAAGGTTTTTAGGATACAGAATGCAATAAGGAAAAAATGACTTCACCAAATTTGAAAACTTCTTCTCAACGAAAGACATCATTATGCAAATGAGTAAGCAAGTTCCAAGCTAGGAGATAACATGCATGAATTATGTGTCTGACAGATGCCTGGTGTCCTGGATACATAAAGAACACTCCATAGATAAACAACCAGTTAGTAACAAGTAAATGATTTGAATTCATAAGCCCATGAAAAACTGCTTAATATCATTAAGCATCAGGAAAATGTAAATTAAAACCACAGTGAGATTCAACCACACATCTACCAAAATGGAGAAAGTTTTATTTAATTATTTATTTTTTACAAAATGGAAAACAAATTTAATAAACTGAAAGACCAAATGTTGATAAGGATGTAGAACAACTCTCATCCATTATTGGTGGAAGTATATGGATGGTACAACTGCTTTAGAAAAAATTCTGGCTATTTATTATAGAACTAAGCATGCACTTATTCTATGACCCAGAAATTTTACCCACAGGTATTGATCTAAAAGAAATGAAAAAAATATATGGATGCAAAATGATTGGTATGAGAATATTAATCACAACCTTACTCATGATAGCCAAGACCTGGAGACAGTCTGAATATCCACCAAAATGAGAATGGATACACAAAGTGTGACTATTACTTAGTAATAAAAGTGAACAAACTATAATACTAGCAACAACACAGATATCTCAAAATATGCTCAGTGACCTTATTAAAGAGAGTATACACTGAATGATCCCACTTATAGGAAGTTCTAGGAAAGGCAAATCTAATCTATGGTTAGAAGAAAACCAGAGCAGTGACTGCCCCTGGAAGGAAAAGAGTAAGGAGTGACTGGGAAACGGCATGAGGTAACTTTTAGGAGATTTGTGCATTTCAATGTACATTAATTTAATCTTAATAGAAAAAAATTAGAAACAAAATTTTGAATTCTAGTTAATGATATGCAGCTGGACGTACATCGTGGAAAATGTATTGGTTATTATAATTTACTCCAAAATGCAGCATAAACATAAGACGGACTGATGGATAAAGAGAGGATGGATAGATGGACAGACATGTCCTAAACAAATTCCTCACTCTGTGACGCCTGTCTGAGTGGAATTTCAAAACAAGACACCAGGTTAATTTCTTTATCCCAAGGAGTTATCGATAATGAAACATAAGCTTATGATATTTTAGCTAACCAGAGGAGAACATGTACCATTGTTAATACTTCACATTGTCTGGATTAACACCGTAAGTACAAAGAATCAATTTATAATCAAGTTAAAGAAATGACATACCCCATCTAAAGTAGACCCAAGGCATTGTTACTGTTAGCCTTAATTTATCAGATTTGATCTCTTCCAAAGTGCCTTTTTTTCCTTTCTTAAAACACTTCTGATTATACTTTAGTTTACCTCCCTGCTTGCTTGATATTTGTTGTCTAGAGTCTAAAAATGATCAACCAATGATTCAAAGGTAAAAAACAAAATGGAATCATTCTGAATGACACTCAAGTTGAAAAATCACATTTCTGCAAACAATCTCATCGTCAAGGAGAAACAACAAGAGCGATGAAGACTGGGACCATCCTTGGTGGCCAGCCACGACCAAAGTGGGGGGGGGGGTCAAGAATAAAAACATGCTCATAGTCTAGGAAAAGATTGGTTATTCCCTAGCCATGGGATCAAGTAAGCGCCAGCACCAGTTTCAAATCATTCCATCAATCCAGGAGAGCTCACATCAGGAAACACACTGCCAAAAGCCAACCAATCAGTAACAGCAAAGTCAACCAATCAGGAGACTTGTCCTCAAGGAAGGGGTCAGGACAGGCACAAAACTTACCAGTTGGAGATTCAAACTTCAGCAAAGCACTGTTATATCCCAGAGTAATCAAGATGGATTCCTTGCCCACGCGGCAACATTCAGTGTCTCTGTTGAGTAAGCATTTAAAGACACAGACGCCACCGGCTATAAAGGGCGAAAAAAATTAAAAAGGATTAGGAAAATCCATTTTTGAGCATTGTAAAAAGGTTCAGTAACACCATCCCTACATTTCTCTCCTTTTTTCAAGGCTCCCCATTTCTTCTTCTTAATATAATGCCTTGTGAGACGTAAGGGAATATGAGGATCTAAGATAAAAGAGGAATTTAACTATGGCCCTATACTGATTCTTTGCAAATGGGTTAGCACAGAGAGCAAAACTAACTCTTACCGGCTCTTGCCTTTATGTCCAGGGCCCCACTCCCTTTAAACCCTGTATTCCCCATAGCATTTTGTATCTCTTGACGGCATCCCAGGAGAGTCCAGGTAATGTCCCTCTGGGTGTGATTCTTGAGCACCTACTATGTGCCAGAGATCTCACACAGTCTTCATTGTAAATACTGTCCCTGCCAGTGTTTTTAGGTAAAGACTAGGCAGAGAGTTTAGGTCCAAATATGCACGGCTAGTAAGTGGCAGAACCAGAATTAAAACCCAAGATTTAATTTGACTCCAAAGCCCACTCTTGCTCTTACCACCTTATGCCAAGGCAAGCACAATACAGAGGGTGCTTGGTTTCTGCAAGCAGGGCCTGCAGTGAGTGGCTAGGCTCTCATCAGGTTCATACATAGATAATTGGGAAGTAACTCGCTATTCCTCCTTTTACAAGTTAAGCAGGCCTTGAGCACTGGGGCAGCTGTAGAGTGGTGGCAAAAGTAATAAACTCGGGGTTTGGTTTTCATCTCTGATATTTACTAATGTAGGGACTTCAATCACCTATTCACACTCAGCGACATTATTGCATTATGCAAAATGAAAATATTAATATTTATTTCCCAAGCTTTTTATGAAGAATGAATAATAAAGGTAAAAATAATTTCTAAAATCCTATTAAAATGATAAGGGACTATGGTCATTTCATTATAAAGTAGATCTTAGTTCCCATACTTAATGTTTTCCATTCTCCCTCACGAAATCAAATACAGGAAGTGTTTTAACTTTAAAACATAGTTATATATAAAATTCTACTATTATACAAGTATGTGGCACATTCATACACACACATTCAAAACACACATACACACACAGAGTTAAGATGACCAAATATTTTCAAATATTTTCATCCATTACTTCAAATGAATGAATACTTCCTGATGGAAGCTTTCACAGATATTTTTCACAAAACATCTTGGCTGGTTAAATAGTGCAGATGTTTTGAAAACATTTTCCTGGCATAAAGCATGATTACAGGTTTAACTATTACAGCCCAGTCAGTGTCTCAAAGGCATCAGTGTCTCCTTGCAGAGAGGCAGCCATGAATAGATGCAGAAGAAGGGAGCTTGGAGCTCTTTTATACAATATATTTTCTTTAAATCACAAGAAATGGTCCCCCCCCCCAAGATATCAGGATTTTCTGCATTTACCAATTGTTTTCTTATGGTTTTGAAGTAGGATGAGGGATGAATGTTAGTCTTCCACAGTACCTTGCAGTCTGTGAACTCTTTGCAGGCAGGGGCGATTTTACTTTCTTTTTTTAAATCATTATCTTTTTTTCTCTGAATCAAAGCCCAGCACAGTACCTGGTACTTAATAAATATTTTTTGAATTGGTGAAAGCATTTCTCCATATATTGATTGAATGCCATCCCAGAATAGATAAAAAGCTTCAAACTTTCTCTGGTTCAGTTCTCCTAAACCAGATATGGTCATAATTCTTTGTTTTGCTATTATTTGTTTGTTCAGTTGTGATTTGATTAGGGTATGAACTGAGTTGCTGTTTTCAGACACTGCAAAATCCTTGCCCATATATCCTCTTTTCTTCATCCTCTCTGACCCTCTGTTTAAATATGGGAGGAGCAGGTGTTTTTAAGCATGCCATAAAATCCAGTAAGTATTGGTAACTACTTAATTTTTTTTAAATCTAACTTTGGCAAAAAAAATTTTTTTTAATTACTTTAAAAACAAAATTGAAAAGCAATGATAAGCTGGGAAAATATTTTCAGCACACCCAACCAAGACTGAATATCCCCAAGATACAATTAACTCTAAAAAATAAGAAAAAACAAGCATCCTTATTGAAAAGTTAGTAGAGGGATCAGTAGGTAGTGGACTGGAAAAATGCCAATAGCAAAAAGAATGCAAATAATGAATTGCCGTAATATTCAAAGAAATGTGTAATAAAAGAATGAGGTCTAAATTTTTCTCTCTCAATGTCAACAGTTTAAAAATATATACTAACAATATCAAATACTGGACAGGGTATGAGACAACGGTGAAGAGCAATTATTGGAAGCATAAATTTCTGTATTTCTGGGAGGTATTCTGCCCATAGGGTTCAAAATGTAAAGTCTATATATTCTTTACTAGACATTCTGTTCATAATCGTTTCCTTCAGGATGTACTTTATCAAGTGTGGATGAGTGTATCGTCAAGGACATTCATCTTAGAGTTGTTTACTATTGCAAGAAAATGCAAAGAAGCTGAGTCTACCACTGTGTACATGGTTGGTTAAATGGAACATGATGCTTCCATGTTCAGGTGGCGAAACAGCATGTATAATGTTAATGTAGCAATTAAGTGTGTTTATCTTCACAGAGAGCTGTTGAAAAAGATACACACATGTCATCAGTGGTTTCCTGTGCATGGAGAGACCTGGGATCATTTTTATTTTTCCCTTTATAACGTTCTGCCTTGTTTGAATTTTCTATGACGCTGTTTTTAACAATCAGAAAATACACCCAATCCAGGAGGGGAGGAGCAAGATGGCTGACAAGTAGGAGACCTATATTTCGTCTGGTCCCAGGAATTCAGATAGATAGTTATCAAACCATTCTGAACACCTACAAACTCAACAGGACATCAAGGAAAAGAATAGCAACAACTCTCTGAACAGAAAAGCGACCACTTTCTGGAAGGTAGGATGAGTGGAGAAGTGAATCTGAGGCGATATTCGGGGGAATAGACGGCAGGGAAGGGGGCCTCCATTGGCCCCTACTGGCAAGTGATAGAGCCGCGGAGCACAAAATCGGAACTTTTAGAAGTCTGCTGCACTGAGGGACGTCGCTCCAGTGGCTAAGCGGGGGGGGGGGAGGGGGGGGTAGAACCCTCGTGGGACAGTGTGGTCTCAGGACCCTTGGGGTCACAGAAAGACCGAGGGTGCCTGAGTGCAGCAGAGCTCCCAGGGATCAGAGTGGGGAAGCCGGCTGCAGAGACTGAGCCAAGGCACGGGCTCTCAGCTCGGGGTTGCCATAAACCGTGATCCGTGGCACAGTCGGGCCACTGCTCCTCCAGCAGGTACCCCACAAGCTGCAGATCCAGGGAGACTCCCCTTCCTCTCCCAGGAGGGGGCGGCGCGGGAGTGCATCACAGGGATCTGCTGGGTTTGGAGACTCCACTCGGGGTTGGGGGCCAGAGACAGAAACGCTCGGTCACAGGCCGGAGGCGCATGGAGTACAGCGGGAGACCGGGGAGACGGGAGTGACTGACTGCTTTTCTCTGGGACTCACTGAGGAGTGGGGCCCTAAGTTCTCAGCAACCCGGGGTGGAGATTGGGAGGCCACCATTTTCACTCTTGGCCTCCAAAGCTGTACCGAAAGCTCGCAGGGAACAAAAGCTCCCGAGAGCAAAGCCAAGCAGATTACTTAGCCCAGAGGGCAAGGGCGGGACAATTCCGCCTCCGGCAAAGACATGTGGGAACCATGGCAACAGGCCCCTCCCCCAGAAGATCAGCAAGAACAGCCAGCCAAGACCAAACTTACCGATCAATGAGAACGGCAGAACTCCAGCGCTAGGGGAATACTGCACATAGAATTCATGGCTTTTTTCCCATGATTCCTTAGTCTTTCAAAGTTAATTTTTTTTAATTTTATTTTTTTTTCTATTTTTTTAGTTGAATTTTTCTTCTTTCCCTCTTAAAGATTTTTTTTTTTAAGATTTTATTTATTTATTTGAGACAGAGAGAATGAGAGAGAGAGAGCACATGAGAGGGGGGAGGGTCAGAGGGAGAAGCAAGCTCCTTGCCGAGCAGGGAGCCCGATGCGGGACTCGATCCAGGGACTACAGGATCATGACCTGAGCCGAAGGCAGTCGCTTAACCAACTGAGCCACCCAGGCACCCTCTTCTTTCCCTCTTCAACCAACATCTATCAATTCTTTTTTTGAAAATCTTTTTTAATTTTCATTTTTCCAGTCATATTCTATCCCTTCATTGTACTTAACCTTATTTTTGTATACATATAAGTTTTTCTTTCTTTAAAATTTAGGGATACAGTTTCTTCTGACAGACCAAAATATACCCTAAATCTAGTGTATGACTTTGTCCTCATCTCCTGCCTGATCACATTCTCTTTTTTTATTTTTTTCATTCTTTTTTCAACCAACTTCTTATGTTATCAATTCCTTTTTGTTTGTTTTTTAATTTAATTTACTTTGATTGTTATGTTAGTCACCATACATCATTAGTTTTTCAGTGACAGGTATTATGGAGGGCACGTAATGCTTGGAACACTGGGTGTTATAAGAAAACAATGAATCATGGATCACTATATCAATTCCTTTTTTAAAATAATGTTTACTTCTCGGGGTGCCTGGGTGGCTAAGTTGGTCAAGCTGCTGCCTTCGACTCAGGTCATGATCCCAGCGTCCTGGGATCAAGCCTCGCATCAGGCTCCATGCTCAGCGGAAGCCTACATTTCCCTCTTCCACTCCCCCTGCTTGTGTTCCCTCTCTCGCTGTCTCTCTGTCAAATGAATAAAATCTTTAAAAAATATATTTTTTAATTTTCATCTTTACAGTCATATTCCAACCCTTTGTTGTATGTACCCTTATTTCTGTACAAATATAAGTTTTTCTTTCTTGAAAATTTTGGGAGGCAATTTCTTCTAAAAGACCAAAATACACCCCAAATCTAGTGTGGCTCTATTCTATTCACCAGCCTAGTCATATTCTTTTTTTTTTTTTCGTTTCTTTCCCCCCAAGTTTCGGGTCTCTGCTGATGTGTTTAGTGTATATTTTTCTGGGGTAGTTGTTACCCTTTTACCATTTTGTTCTCTCATTCATCTATTCTACTTTGGACAAAATGACAAGATGGAAAAACTCACCTCAAAAAAAGAAAAAGAGGCGGTACCGACTGCCAGGGATCTAATCAATACAGA